TCTGCATGTATAAGATATAATTTTTAAATTGCCCAGCTACTGGCAGTATATGATAAGGCAAACAGAATTGCAGGACCTGCTTCTATGAGTATTTAAAATAAACTTATGGTAGATATTGTTTATTTTATATATGTACTAGATGGCTTGCAAACAGTGGATGTTTACCCTGATTGTGCAGAATTACAACTGCAGTCTTCACCAGGAAAGCTGTTTTAAAGGCAGTTTAGTGCTTTCTTCCTGCAGTAGGGTATTGACATTTGTAATAGGAATTCTCATAAAATACATTTTTTTATGTCCACCCCAACGTGTTTACTTTAGTTGATGTGGAAAGACAAAAATATTCTACAAAATTTAAAAGAGCTAAAGACAACAGACAGCCTGAACAACAGATGGCACATTCAGAAGACACTTGTATGTCAGTATTTGAACTCCGTGTTCATAAAAGTAGAAGCATGCCCTAGGACTTCTAAAAGAAGTTTTATATATATATATATATACACATATATATACACATATATATATATTCTACCCCTGAAGTCCCCTGTGTACATATTTTTAACCAAAGTATAAACCTACAAATAGATGTAGGTGTGTGCTAGACACAATAATGGATTCCAGTGTTTGGCACATTTGGCCTTTTAACCAACCACTTACCAGGGAATTTTTATCTTACCTACTTTTGATCTGTATCAACAAGACACTTCAAACTAGAATTACAGTAGCAATTTACAACACACAGAGGTCTAAACCTCCTTGGCCAAGTAATAGCACGTTACTCGTTCGGATCACCAACAGAGAAAATGTATTTGTCCAATTAAAAGAAGTGAAGGAGCCCTACACCAGCTACTCAGACCAAACAAGGAGTCACTTCTCTTGCTGACCAACCAAAGATTCTACTTATTAACTAGGATAATGCCTTAAAATGGTTTGGTTTATAACCTGAAAGACGTTTTAAGGATTTAGAAAAATCGCCTGCGGTTGCAACTCCAAACAGCTGATTTCTCTCTCCAGAGAGCTATTTTTTCCACACAAGTTTCAATACTTTTTTGAGATTATAAACTGCAAGACAGCGGCCACAGCAAGGAAGATGAATTACGAAGAAAGACTACTGTAATTTGGCCTCAATACCATAAGACCTAAAAAAAAAAAAAATAACACAGTAAGTGCATTAAAAGTTCAGGAGATCCACGGTGCTTGTAGCAAACAAACTTCTATAAAATGCTACTGCTAAAAACAACAGCCTTGGAGAAAGCTTCAAAGTCACCAAGTATGAACCCTACCAAGAACTGGCCAACCAGTCAGGCCAATATCAATGGATTAAAACACCAAGGCATACATAAAAATGCAGGAAGAGCCTTAGAAATTTGGAACATCATTGCACAGTACTGACCCGTAGGGTAAGTTTTGACTTTCTTGTTCAAAAAACACCTGCCACCCAAAGACCAGACAGCAGTTGCTTCACTTGGGTGGTACACCAACAAAATGCCCCTTCCAAAGAGATGCCACACAGAGCCTTCCAACAGCAGATTAACTATTGCAATGAGACTGTGCAGATCTGAGGGATATTTCAGACAGTACAAACTGCAGTGGGAGAGGACAAAGTCTTATCCAACAGCCCAAATACCACCAGTTTCTTTTAACCATACATCTTCTGGAGTAACTTCGAGGTTTTGAGGCTATTCTTCCACAAGTGCTAAGCCCATTTCCCATCAATTCATTGCTCACATTTATCTTCCCGATAAGGAGCAGCAGATTACAACTGGGTAAGGGGGCCCTACCAAAACAGTTACCCAATGGGGGAGCACAGACACTGGGTACTGTGCAAAGCTGGGCTATCAGATACCCAGAACTATATGTAAATACATATCCCTTCATTTCCCACGACCGTCTCACTAAAGGTTCATTCAGAGGCATTTTTTTCGTATTTTATTTAATTAAAAAAGTTTTTACAGTAACCTGTTTCCACAGCTAACCTAAATCCAGCCTTTCCTTTGTTCCCTCTTGTGCTCTTCACTCTCAGCTCATGTTTTCCCAAAATGTCTTCCCCTGAGGAACAGAACTGTGGCCTTCCCACCCTCACTTCACATCTTTATCCCTCAGCCACTTCTCTCCACTGCCCAAATAAGCCCATCTCAAAGCCCTGCACTCAGTGGGCATTACAGATATTTATGCCTTGGAGAAAGGCCATGCCTAGAAACTAAGCAATAGAAACAGTGTTATTCCCTCTTATCTACCAAAAAGTTACTCTCTGATGTTCTCCACTGAGAAAAACTTTTATAGAAGGACAAAGCTTTGTTCTTCGTGTCCCCTACCAGGTGAGAAAAGGTTTGTAACTCTTTTTTCCTGTTACCTTCTGGGAGTTTTGAAGCAAAACTTCATAAAAGCTTTAAATGACTAACTCTGTGTGAAACAGGACACAGAGAGAGGACAAAAACGTAAGGATCACCTGCAGGGACAATCAGTCAGGGAAAATGTTTTTCAGTGACCTCTCCTGAAGAGCAGGGTAGAAAAAGATGAGTTTGAGGTGAATGGTAGGTCACTCCAGAAGGGGACAGTAGCCAAAAGGTCCAAGGAGCTTCCTCCCTTGAAACCTAATCAGCTCCAGGTTTGAAGATACACCATATAAAATCATCTTGAAAGCACAACTTCACCATTTGACTAGAACCAGCACTTTCCTATTTGCTGTGAAATTCTACTGTAGCACGTATCTTCATTTCTAGACAGAGTGTGGTGGCAGAACTCTTGAAAGAGAATCAAAGCTTAACAAATATAAGTTTTTCACGGCAGCAATTCTACCCTGTACAAGGAGAGGCTGTTTTCAGGTTCTCACTTTACAAGGAAGCAGTGATTTTAGTAAGTTTGGAGCACGGATGAAGAGGCAATGAAATGAATACTTTAAAGCAAAATAGGAAAATATGTCTGAGCTAGAGTAGCTCAAAATTTCTGATTTTTAGCTTCACAAATTGCTGTTTCTCCCAGTCTTATCCTAGGATGGAAGACACCAAGAGGATATTAAAAGTCCATGTGCTTACTGGAACTTCTAAAAACATACTCCACTTTGTATTAATAAATATTTTCATCAAGTCTGAAAGTTTATTTGCAGTGAAAGGGACCGATCCTCTGAAACAATAAACATCTGATCTTCCCATGAAAGTGACTGACTTGTACTCCAGTGCCTCAGAACTCTCACTCTGAACCATACAATCACCCTCTATCACAACCCAGCAGTATCTTTAGCTCCTATAAATTAAAAATAGCCCGAACAGAAATAAAAGTCTTGATGTCTGCACCTATACTATTTACTTCATAGTGAAGGACTTCATTTTGCCGCCCACAGAGCCAACATCTTCCTTTTTAACTCAGCAGAAACTTTGCCAGTTACACTACTCACTGCCCACACATAAATTTTTTGGCCGCTAATGTTTCCACCAGTAAATAAATCAATCAGGAATATGGAGAATGCAGGGCTGCTTTTTTGGCCACAAGAAAATAAAAAAAATAAAAATAATAAAATGCTGCTGGAGCAGAACCCATTATGAACTGCAAGACAATATACAGTCCAAAAGTTACATCAGAGTATTCTCAGTCCTGCCAAATGCATCTTTACTGAGATTGTTCAGTGAAAAGAAGGTGATGTATCATGCAGTTATTTGAAGTGTACCAAATATTTCTACAGTAGGTCTTGGGTTTGCAACTGTAACAGTAAAATATTACACACATATTGCCATCTCATGGATACTACAACACTTGTTTAAAATTCCAAGAACGCAATCCCTAACAGAAAAAATATGCAGAATCCACAGCAAGTAAAATCGTAAAGATTCACAACGTGAAAGCACGAATTCACATCTGAAACAGTCCAAAAATCTGCCTCAGATGCTCTCGTAGTAGTTTCTATTTTTATGACTTGGCTCAGACTTGCTTTAATCTCTTTATTTAGGGAGAAACTGCAAGCTTGCCAACTCTAGCAAACGTTAAGTACTTTAGTAAATTCCCCATCAATATAGGTCGTGCATTCGAGGGAACAAGGATGTGGTAAGACCTGCTCCATCTCCTCCAAAGGGGATTTCGGAGTAAGGCAGCGATGGGAGAGAGAGATAAACAACGTGGCTAAGCCCCTCTTTCAGCTCCATCCTCCTCTCCAGACATCTGTCCACACTTTGTTGTGCCGTGATTGAGATGTTACGTGATGCGGCTCGCCCAGCCTGCTGTTATCCTACATCCCTTTTATCTGAGCGAGCAGGAGAGCACATGTATTGCCAATGCTATTGCGTCGTCACTCTTCCATTAAAGTTCAGTAACGGCACGAAGCGAGTCCAAGCAAGTCAGCAAAACCATCGGAAACCCAATAGATGTCAAGATATCTAAGTACGGAGGATGAATACAGAAACAGTTCGAGCAGCCTGTGCACACTTTCCGGAGCATCTAGCCGAACTGCCTAAAGCCACCAAGTCCTGTCAAACCCCGGGGTTTGCTTTTAAAAAAAAAACTTGGCAGCCAACAAACCAAAACCTGTATCATTTCTGAAGCTGTGCTCGAACAAACGCATCCCTCTACCCAAGGGGCTCGGACAAGCAAGTAAACAAGTTTCGGGTCCTTCCCGCACTTCCCGGGCAGGACCTCCGGCTGTCCCCGCACCGGCGGGGAGTCACGGAGGGGGACACGGCACGGACCCCCCCCCCTTGCCGAGGGATGCCCTCCGCCGAGCAGCGGCCGCCTCTCCCCGACCTCCCCCGGGCTGCGGAGCCCCGGCCCTGCAGCTCCCCGCCCAGAAGGGTCCCCGGGCTCTCCCTCCGCAGGCAGCCCCACCCCGGCGGCTCTGCGGGGACCCCCCGCACCTGCCCCGGGGAGGCGGCGGGCGGGAGCGCAGCGCAAAGCACCGCGTCCCCGCGGCGGCAAAGCCCGGGCGGGCGGCCCCCGGCTCCCGCTAGCCCGAGCCGCCGCCGCGAGCAGGAGGAGGAGGAGGAGGGAAAGGGGAGGCAAGGGAAGAAGGCCATTACCAGAGTTTTGTTCCCGTTCTTGCTGAGGGGGCCGCGGAAAACTCCCTTGATGTTGCGAAAGTGCCCGTTGCTGAGGTGCGCGGAGCTGATGACAATGTAGTAGCACTCCATGGGGCCGGGGCCGCCTCCTCAGGCCGGGCTCGGCGGGGCCGGGCGGGGAGGGCCGGGGCCGGCGCTGCCGGGGCCGGCGGCGGGGCGGGGGGTGCGGCCCCTCAGGCGCGGCGCGGCCGCGGGAGGAGGAGGAGGAGGAGGAGGAGGAGGAGGAGGATGCGCGGCGGGGCGGCCGCGGCGGAGCCGAGCGAGCTGCCGCCGCCGCTGGCAGGCATAGTGCTATTATAGCGAGCAGCCTTGCCGGTCGGCTGCACTGAGCCAATGGCAGGGAGCCACTGGGCTGGTACCGAGCGCTGTCAGAGGAGGACATCTGTCACACGCCGCCTCCACCGCCACCCACCGCCCCACGCCCCGCTGCCCCCGCCGCGGACGGGCCGGCGGCAGGTAAAGGGGGACGGGCGGGGCGAGAGGGCAGAGCCGGCACCCCAACCCAGCGAGCGGCGAAGGTGGGGTGTGCCCTCCTTTTTCCGGGGGTGGGGACCACGACGAGTGTGGTTTTCCTCCGGGATTGGGGAGGAGGGGGGACGCGGAGAGATGCCGGGGGTGCGACGCCCCCAACCCAGCGGTCCTGCCCCTCGAATCCCCCCTCCTCCGAGCAGCCCCCGCCCCCGTTTTTTTTTTTTTTTTTTTAATTCCATATGTCTCTAACACCTAACTCACAGGCACTTCCACCTGCCCGGGGCGGAGCAGCCCCCTCGGTCCCCGGGACCGATGGATCGCCGCCTCCGCCCGCCGCTCTCGCCTCCAGCGGCCCGTGACGGCGTAATTGGGTGAAATCGGTCATTTCTCATCCCCGCTCGGGCTAAGCTCCATCCCGCCCTTTGCTGGGCTGCGGCGGCCGCAGCCCATCCCCACCGCATCCCGCCCGACGAAGCTGCAGGATCAGAAGCGGGCCGGCAAAACTTCTGGGTCACGGCATCGGGAAGCGCCGGGGCGGCATCCCCCCCTTCCCGGGCCGTCCTTATCCCTCCTCCTGGGGTGCCGCATCCCCCCCCGGGCCGCCCGCGTCCTCCCCCGCGGTTACTCACGGCTCTCCCGGCCCGGGGCCGCCGGCGGAGGCGGCTCTGCCCGCCCGGCCTCGCAGGGCCTGGGCGGCTGCAGGGAAAAGGAGACCCACCATGGTTTCGTGCAGGCTCTGGCGCTGCCTCTGCGATCCTCACCCTCAGCCTTAACGCCCGTATAACGTACTCGCTCCGTTCCATAAAGCCCCCAGCAAACTGTGGATTAAAAACCATCAGGTACATCAGCATGAGGCAGCTGTAGCGTACCCGTGCTCCTGCACCAGCACAAGTGCTTCTTTTTGCAGCTCACAAATTGGAGCTCGCTGCCAGGAACAGAATTTGTCACAGTGTAAGACGTGCTCAAGAAAGAAAGATGCTCAAGTGTGGTTTGTTGTTTCTGGTGTTTGTTTTTCTGGTGGTTTTTTTTCCCCCATAACGTATCTATGATTTGCAGCTTTATCACTTAAGGCATGAAACTCTTATAGGTGCCTCATCTTCCAACATGCTTTACCCTTTATTCTGGGTTGTAAAAATCAAGATTGATGGGGTGAAATTCCAGTGCCAAAAGAGGGAACACCTTAGAAAAGAAGCCCAGAACCATGATGTAACATTTGAAAATGTCTTTTAGTCAGCATTTACTCCTGGCAACATAAAACCACCATCCTATCATCCTGCCCTCCAAAATAAAGGAACTGCTGCCAGAAAATTTGGGATGGGGGACACACACAAACACTTTCCTGGCAGAAATTACTCTCTCCTGATGAAGGAAAGACCAGGTTTTTGAGAGGTGCCTTCTTCTGATAAGCATTTTCTATCATTACTTCCCTTTGTACACAGTGAATTGTAAATTTTGACAGCTGTCACTCACCCATCAGCATTTCCAGTACTTAGGAAGGAATTACAGAAATGGTAAAAGTGGTAAGTTTTGACAGCTAAGACACAGGTGAGAGATCAGAATTTGCTGCTCTTGTTACAGCCAAAAAAGGTGTCATAATGTACATGCACAGTAATACTATTTTTCTGGTTATGAGCGTGTACGGGTACATCTAGAAATAACCAGCAAGTTCATTACCATGTAAAAATGAAGTCAATATTATAAAAAATCTGATAAATTTAACAACATAGGACACTTAAGGCCTGGTTCCCATTTCAGACAGGATCACAGGGATTGTTCTCTCTCAAAAAATGTCAGATTTTAAGGTAGCATAGACTAACGAAAAGACATGAAATTATTATGCATGAAATAATATTATGCAAGAAATAAAATTAGGCAACGCTTTTCTGTGAATAAATATATTCCAACTTGGACTAGAAAAATTTTTTCCACCTTCTAAATATAACATTACTGATATGTGAGGACCCTTCTGCCTGGGAGTGAGACTCCACACATACACTTTTCGAAGAACTGGAACCTTTTTCTCTGAAATCCTTGCATTGACACACTGCTGACATGTTTTGTCACACCTGCTACAGCCATAGCTGGGCCCTTTCAGGGTGGTAGATACAGAGATAGAGCTGCTGGCTGGCCTTTCAGAGGTGTGCAGATGTGCACTGCTTGCACACTCTTTTTAGAGTTCAAGAACTTGGGAACAGGTTATTGTAGCAGCAGAGAAATTATCTACTCCTGTAGCTCAAGTTTTAAAGGCTCGACCTGCTTTGTAACAAACAGGAGTGACTGAAACGGCTTTAAAATCTGTTAAAGCTTCTGCTAATGAAGATTATTGGCCTCCTCTATTAAGGGAGGAAAAAAACCAACAGCTAAAGACCACTTGATTCCTCCAAAGCACTCAATAAACAAATGACTAGCGGTACTAAATAGCACCTAACACGCAAAATATACATTTTCTACTCCTACCTCTTTATTATTATTTTTTTGGGCTGATCTTTTCTGATACTTTGCTATCTTAATCCTTCACTGAAGTTTTCCTGCCTCGTTCTGTTTTCTCTGTTATGATCACACAGGCTCAAGATACTGCTTCCTTCCCAAATCTTTTATTTGTAATAAATTGCTAATTTCATCAATCCCTAAACCCCATGGATCCTACATACCATTAGTCTTACCTATTTCAGTTTTTGTCCTGTTCCCCTGGGTCACCATCTGGGGTTTCAGCTGTGTGTATTGCTATTTATTCAAATCTCTGCCAAATAATAATAATAACCAGTGCTGCTTATTTACTCCTTCTCATATTCTCCTTGATACTTCTTATTTGGAAGAAACCTCCCAGGAGTTGTTCCTGTATACAACTGCAAATACTAATTCAAGAAACAGGCTATGGATTTGAGATACTTTCTGGAAAACTTCTGAACTAGAAGCCAGTGAACAAATTACACTTATTCACATATATCGTGCTGTTTTTCTGCTTCTGACAATACTCAGTATTCTGCATTCTAATATTTAATCTTAATCATTCAAGAAGTAGCCCCGGCGTAACCCAGAAAAAAATATTCTACTGTATAAACAAACCCCTTTTGCTTGACAGTCTTTAAAGTGTGGCATAGAGTATGTGTTACCAAGCAAACATATCCTGAGAAATCATTCACACTCTACTGAGACATTTCCATCAAGGATAGAAAGGAGTATCTGTGCTGTAAGTCACAAGAAACTCAATTAAGCTCCCACAGCAATTCTTATTGAGTTCAACAAAATTCAGTTTATCCTAAGAATATCTCCCTTAAGAAATCGCTGAGACACACCTTTTTACCATCTCCTGCCCTTTTAGTCTCCTTGTATTGCCCTTTTTTTTCCCCTTTTCTCTTAGCCTGGGATGTTTTTCCCTTTTTCTGATGTCTGTCATCCTTGCGTTAAGCGGAAGGAAAACCAGGAGCGGTCTAGGTACCTTTGAAAGGCCATTATGGTGTAATACACATTATACACTGTATTACAACTGCATTCATTCATCAGCTATGGGGGTGGCACAGCCAGAAAAAGGGGAAACTGGGACAGCCTGGTAGCCTAGTTCCTCAGCACATCCCTCACTGCATGTGAAGAGGATCAGAGTGGGTTCCCTGTTTCAACACTTGAGCTGAGTGGAGCGCTGGTATCACAAAGCTGAGGGAAGGCAGCAGTGACAAAGCCCTGCAGCATGCAGTCAAATCGTGGGCTGTAGCCTGCAGCCCTCCACATTTTGTCACAGGAAGAGGACTGTCAAGGCTTAAACCGATGTTCCTGCTCCATCTCAAAAGTAGCAACAAAGATTTATTAAAACATACAGTTTTGGGGTTTTTTTCTCAGTTTTGGTCATGCAGCATTCCAAAGCACATAATTTTAGATCACAGCTCGTTCAGAACAGCTCCGGGAAGAAACTGTCCAGCAAGAATTACCCCCTCCCTCTTTTCACGTGTCCACCTAGCACCCATATTGAGCACCACATTCCTGTCTTAAGAAATGCAAACGCTTTTCTGCCACTTCCCTTTCAGATTACCAAACTAGCACTGCCTGATTTAGGATACTATCGGGAAAAACTTTCTGTTGTTATTGAATCAAATACACCGTTCTCTGTATCTATTTTTCTTAATGTTTCTGCTGCATAATTTCCCCAACAACTCATGCACGCTGCGTTTCTTTTTTCTGCCCTAATCTCTTCCTAACAAAAAAACAAAACAACCAAAAATTTCAAATAAATTCACAAATGACACACTGAATATGAGGCGACATCAACAAGTCACTGATGTACCACAAAGCATTAACTAGCATGAGACTTAAAAAGGCCAGAAAACACCTGATGATCCAGCCAAGGCAAAAGAACCCTCTGCAAAAGCAACTCTTGCCCCTTTTAAACACTGAAAATGCAATACATTCTGCTGTGTTCAACACTGCCTCAGGAGCCTCTATCACATAGAGTGGCTCTACATGGAAAGAAAATGGAGCCAGCAACTGGTAAGTGAATCTTGAGAACTGTCTGTGATGGAATTACAGTTTTCCAATATCCATTCAAACCCAACATCCAAGTCAAAACCAAACAGAATAAGTGAAATTATGAAAAATCATAAGAAAAAAAATTGGGTGTTATGATCTCATCAAAGACAATGAC